GTGGGGGCGGGGCGCAGGCGTCCGGGGCCCGTGCGGGGACCCCGGTCCGGCCGCACTCGGGCGGGGGAGGGGCTGTCCGGCGCTTTCCGGGGAGGGAGCGGCCTTCCTGCCCTCGGCGCCGCGCGGAAGTTGGACTGGAGGGCGCGGGCCGACGGCGCAGAGGCCCTTACGGAGCGGGGCCACAGCTGGGTCTGAGCCTCCTGGGGTTTCGTGTGGGTGCGGCCGCGTGTGCTAAGAGTACTTGACTGAGGTATGGCTCACACACACCAATATGCCCGAACCCTGCGGGCTCCGCTCCATTAATTTTCCCGTATGTGTGCACCTGCGTAACCACCACCCGATCACTAGTACCCCCCAAAGATCTCTCGTGCTTCTTCCCAATCTGCCTTCCTCCGTCGCACCCCTTTACCCCCAAGCCTCAGGCAGCCACAATATTCTCCTGCCACTATGGATTTGTTTTGCCTGTTTTTGGACTTGCTCTACTTGAAATAGGACTGAATATTCTCATTTGTGTCCGGCTTTTTTTCACTAAACACAGTGCATTTGAGATCTTCCTGTTATACCTAATAAAACTATGGTGAATATTCAGGTAAAAGTGTGTGTGTGTGTGTGTGTGTGTGTGTGTGTGCGCGCGCGCGCGCGCGCGCGCGTTCACATAAGCACTCCTTTCTCTAGGGTAAATACCTATGAGAGGATTTACTGGGTCACAGATGAGCCTACATTTACTTCCATTAAACGCCGTGAAACAGGAGCGTCTGGGTGGCTCAGTCGGTTGAGCGTCCGACTCAGGTCATAATCTCACCCTCAATGAGTTCGAGCCCCGCACCGGGCTCTGTGCTGACAGCTCAGAGCCTGGAGCCTGCATCGGATTCCCTGTCTCCCTCTCACTCTGCCGCTAACGTACTCACTTTCTGTCTCTGCCTCTCTCAAAAATAAATAAACATTAAAAAAAAAAAAGCTGTGAAACAGACATTCAAGTGACATGCTATGTTGCCCCCCTTCTGTGTTATTTTTTGAATGAAGACAGGCCCAAACGGGGCTACGGCAGAGAGATAGGTTATCAATGTTCCCTTTGAACACAGTGTCCCTGTGGCCTAACTTCTAACTTCGTTTGTAAATAACACCAAAACAAATCTGCTTCTCAGAGATTTCTAGGATGCCGGTGCCGTCCTGTTAGAAGACTGTCATCAGTGTGGCAAAGTCCTGATAATTCTAGAATGTGGAGATAATCACACAGTCTCTAGTTTGACCAGCCTCCCAGGTGAATCTAACAAACACTCAAGGCTGAGAACCAGTCATTGCCAAAGTTGAGGCATTTGGTGATTCATTACACTATTGCTTCTACTTTTGTGTACATCTGATAATTTTCATGACCAAAAAAAAATTTAAGTCCAATGTCTGTCTGCTTTTTAGACAATAGTCACAGTACCTGCTACCTCAACTTCTTTCTCCATAAAACAAAGATAAGTGTACCTAGGAGCTGCTGTGACAATGCGACAGGCGCACTGGCATTCTGTAACATTCCCAGCTCTATGCCCACAGGCATAAAGTTGGCATTGTGTATCATTTTTTATGCATTTTTTACATTTTTCATTCCTGTCCTTTACCAAGGCTTCAGAACTTACAGTAGAGGTGATAGGGGGTCTTTGTTGGAGCGAAGGTTTCAGGGAAGCACAAAAACCTAGCACTGGATAATTTCTCCTCCTCTGAGGGGCCTTCATCCAATTCTCTAGCAATCTTCTAAATCAGTGATTTTCTCTAAATCAGTATTGTCTCTAGACCAGCGGCACCAGCAACACCGGGGAACTTGTGAGAAATGCAAATTCTTGGGCACCAACCAGGACTGCTGAATCAGAAGAAACTCTGGGGGTGAGGCTCAGCAATCTGTGTTTTGACAAGTTGTTCCCCCCCCCCGCCCCTCACCACCTCCCACATGATTCAGACGCATGCTGAAGTTTGAGAACCTCTGTCATTTCCTGAGTCTACTAAGAGTTGAGGCTGCTGCGTTTCTCTGATTATCGGCTAATGTGCTATCCAGTCCAGACAGGGAAATATTCGCTGCTGGTGGCCACTCTGTTAATCACTTCATCATGAACACTTAAGAGCTTGAGCAAGATGCCTGGCAGCACAAGGGCCGTGTGCTGGCCTGGTGGGCAAGAAAAGGCCCCACGGACCAGACCTGCCGTCGAGGATGCTGAGATTTCTACACTGGCGTGAGGCCTTCTTGGTGTGATGGACTGGCCCTTGGAGGGGCAAAGGACTCCATAACCCCCTTGAAATACTTCACACTCTAAGAGAAAGCCAGCCAGATGCATGGTCTCCAAGCAGCTGGTGAAAATTTAAGAATTTCCAAGTTCTTTTCTGTTCACCTACCCTGAAGGAGTATAGGTTCCAAGGCTTCAATTAGAGTGTCACCGTCTGACTATAACTCATTTACACCAATGTAATTATGATGATATCTCAGTTCAGATATAATGAAAGAATATAATGAGAGTCGATTCTGTATTAGTCAGTATTTTGGCTTGCAAGTGATAGAAACTAAACTCAAGCAAAAAAGAATTCATTGGCTTGTGTGACTGTGGTATGCAGACATAAAACCTATCGCAGGCACAGGCCAATACAGGTGCTCAAATCAGGCACAGTCAGAACTTATTTTCTTTTGGTTCTGGAGGCTGGAAGTCCAAGAGGTGCCATCAGGGTTGATTTCTGGTGAGGCCTCTCTTCCTGGCTTGGAGACAGCCACCTTCACACTGTGTCCTCACATGGTCTTTCCTCTGTGCATGGAAACAGGGGGTGAGAGAGAGAGAGTTGGCGCGGGGTGGGAGGGAGGGGGTATGGTGTCTCTTCCTCTTCTTGTAAGAATACCAGCCTTAATGGGATTAGGGTCCCACCTAATTATCTTAATTATCTTCCGGCCCCATCTCCAAATACAGTCACATTGGGGGCTAGGGTTTCAACATATGAATTTTGGGGGCACATAATTCAGTCCATAACCGGCCCTCTGATTGGTCCAAATATGGGCCATGTTTCCTTTAAACAATCATTATGTCCTGGGGGGTAGATATTTTTATTGGACAGGCCAATTTCTACCTACCCATATAGCTTTGTGTGGGTAGTTCTCCAGAACCGCAGGAACTGAGTTGGGGAGGGGTGATTCCCAAAAGGAAAATCAGCGTGCAGGTCCCTGAAAGGGGAGTGAGTATTAGGCAGTCTTATGGACTGAATGTTTGTGTCCCCCACAAATTCAAATGTTGAAGCTCTACCCTCCAATGTTTTGGTATTTGGAGATGGGACCTTAGGGAGGTAATTAGGGTTAGATGAGATCCTGAGGGATTAGTGCCCATGGCATTAATGGCCTTATAAGAAACACCACAGAGATCTTTCCCTCCCTCTCTTCCATGTGAAGACACAGCAAGAAGGCTGCTACCTGCAAGCCAGGAAAAGAGCTCTCACCAGAAATGGAATTGGCTGGCACCTTGATCAGGGACTTTCAAGGCTGTGGGAAAATAGACATATGTTGTTTAAGGCACCAAGTTTAAGGTGTTTTGTTATGGCAGCCCAACCTAAGACAGAAGGGCAAAAGCATCAATGTCCATGACCCTTTTCTAGTACCTGCCTTTTAAATCCTTTTCCAGTGAAGTTTTAGAAGTTTCTCAGGCTCTGAGAACCAGCCAGACTCTCCGGTCCTTCTGAGGAACATCAGCCTCCTGTGAATGGACCAGGATGGCCCTAGAGCCAGAAGTAGCCCATCAAGGACTCAGCCAGCAGCATTTGGAACAGCCTGACATGAGAGCTTAGCCCAACAGAAGCCCATCAGATCCTTTCTGTTGAGGAGTCTGACTTGGAGGCGCTGGGAGGGGTCAGCAGTTGGCACGTGGAGGCAGCAGAAGCCAGAGGACACCGAGAAGGTGGAAGCTGTAGGCTGGAACTACGGAGACTTGAGTGGAACAGAGTGGCTGAAACCCAGCGGATCAAGAGCTCACCACTGAGGGCCAACAAGAAACCTGGTCCTTGGAGCTGGGCAGGAAACCTCTGCCTGTGCTACCTGGCTGTGTGGTTGACGGGCAGGACTCTGGAACCGAACCACCTGCATTTGGCTCCCAGTTCCATCCCTTGCTAGATCTATGTCCTTGGACAAGTTACTAACTTCTCTGATCTTCCATTTCCTCCTATGTAAAGAGGAGCAACAATAGAACTGACTTTCAGGGCAAATATGGGAATAATATACATGGACAGATGGTGCCTCCAATAGTGTTTGGCTCATAGTAATATATGTTACTTTTTTTTTTAAAGTTTTTATTCCAAGGGGTACCTGGCTGGCTCAGTTGGTAGAGCATGAGACTCTTGATCTCCAGGTTGTGAAAAAAAGAAAAGCAAGACAAACAGAATTGCAAGTCTCGATGGTTTCATTGGAGAATTCCACCAAACATTCAAAAGTTATTATTCCTTCTGTCCTTATGTATCTATTTTTTATTAAAAAAATTTTTTTTTCAACATTTATTTATTTTTGGGACAGAGAGAGACAGAGCATGAACGGGGGAGGGGCAGAGAGAGAGGGAGACACAGAATCGGAAACAGGCTCCAGGCTCTGAGCCATCAGCCCAGAGCCCGACGCGGGGCTCGAACTCACGGACCGTGAGATCGTGACCTGGCTGAAGTCGGACGCTTAGCCGACTGCACCACCCAGGCGCCCCTGTCCTTATGTATTTAAACAAGAAGGTTCTACCACCTGGAGGCTGAGGGACCCCCCAGTGGGTTGCTGTTCCATAACCATAAGCATCGGAAACCTTTTCTAAGGGGGAAATAAAAGACTTTTTGGATCTGTAATGCAATGTCAGGCAATCTGAGTAACTAAAAGAGCTTCTGGGGGGAAATTTCACTGGGAGGGACAGAGGGGGAGAAAGAGGACTCACCTAGTTATTTGTGACTCATGCATCATTCAGCAAACATTACTGGACCCTTCCACATGCCGGGCAGAACAATTCATAGGTGAGGAACGCCTTTGCTCAGGGAGTTTGTAGCCCCTAACAATATGGGGGAATAGAGCCAGGTGGTAGAGGGAGCTGTGATTGTCACCTCCATGGGGCAGAGTCCAGGTCTGCACTGGAAGGTTCCCCGCTCATGTCCAGTGTGAAACAGAGTGCCTGGCCCAAAGTAGTATGCAATACACATTTGTGAGATTAATACAGAACTGCAGGGATGGCCCACAGGAGGGAGGAACCAGCTTGTCCTGAAAGGGGAGGAGGAAGGTTCACGGAGGAGCTGGTGCTTGGAACTGTGTCTTGAAGGATGATTAAAAATGTGTTGGGTGGGCAAAAAAGGGAATGGACTATGCCTAGGCAGGAGGCATGAAACTGCACCAGAGGATTCCAGGAATTGCTACTGACACTGATAATGATGACAATGAGGTGTCTACTGTCGTGGTGGTGTCACCCTGATCGCAGCTACTGCTCTGACACATTCCCATCTTGGTTCCCGTGATTCTCTGCAGGGAATGTCTTGCTTATCTTTCCCTATTTTGTGTTGTGACTTGCAAATTAGAACCACCTGTGAAAATACACCTGCCGAGGCTCAGCCCTGAGGATCCCAATTCAGGGTGCTCAGGTGGAGCCTGGACCTCTGTGTTTGGAAGAAGTCCCACCACAAGTGATACTGATGCCCCTGGCTAAGAACTGTTGACCTGGCAAATTGCCAGCAGTCGAACTAAGTCTCGCTGAAATGTCACTGCCTGTGGGAAGCCTTCCTTGAGCAATGAGCAATCTCCCATGGCATTCATTCAACCAGAACTTACTGAGTATCTACAAAGTGCCAGGCTCCGTGTTGGACATGGAAGTACATGTTCATTGCCCTTTTGGAACTTCCTAATAAGAAGGAAGTAGACGGATAAAGCTAGCAATTTTAGTAGACTATGGTGAAGGCTAATTGACAGGGTAAAAGTAGATGTGCCATGGGAGCCAATGGGAGACACAGGGAAGGCTTCCTGGACGAGGGGCCATCTTAACCACACACAGAATGATAACGAGCTGTTAACCAGTTACTGGTGGTTGGAGAGTTGAGATAAACACTCAGAGGCATGTCTCAGAGGACATGAAATTCATTGAGGCTTGAGCACAGGGGTCCAAAGGAGGGGAAGGAGCTAGATGAGGCTGAAGAGGTGGCAGGACAACATGGCAAAGACAGGTGGGTCCCCTCAGTGCACCCAGCTGTGCATGCAAATGTCTGACGCACCACACTTCAGGCTTAGGGGTCTCTCTTCCCAGACTGGGCAATTCTGGAGAGAAGAAATTATGTGTGGAAAATCTGCAGTCAGGGTCATGCTGCCTTGGGTTTGAATCCTAACCCTGCCGCCTACTAACTCTGTGAAGTTGGGAAGTTTTTAAGCTCCTCTGGGCCTCAGTTTCCCTACATGTAAAATGAGGACAAAAGCTTCTATCTCTACTTTCTAATCCAATTATCATCTGCAGCATATCAAACCACCCCAAAGGTTATGGGCTTGCAATCATTTATTACCATCTCTTATGGTTCTCGTGATTTGACATGGCTCAGCCGAGGAGCAGTTGTCACTTGGGGTCTCATGCAGCCGTAATCGGATGGGAGCCAATCAGATGGACTACAGTCACGTGAAGGCTTGATGGTGCTGAACGTTCTAGAAGGTTCTCTCACATGTCTGGCAGTTGATGCTGGCTGTTGACCGGGAGCTCAGCTATGGCTGTCAAGGGGAGTGCCTGCATGTGGCCACTCTATGTGGCTTGGGCTTCTCAGAGCATGGCAGCGGGGTTCTGAGAGGGAGCACTGGCAGTGAGCATCCCAGGAGGCAGGACAAGGAAGATGCCAGGCCAGTTAAAGAATATTCCTCCATAATCTTGCAGGTCAATGAGTTCACAGGACCTGCCCGGATTTTAGAGGGTGGGAAGATAATTTCCACCATTTGATGA